GAAACCTTTTTATAAACATTAACTTAGTAGCGAATTAATTTCGCAATTATCGAATTTTTTTCTTTTGAAAATTTATGCGAATCGGCCCGAATTCGAATTTTTGAATAATTCGCTCATCTTCTACTCATGATCCTAAGCATACCACCTCATCAGTGAAGCATGGTGGTGGTAGTGTCATGGCGTAGGCATGTATGGCTGCCAATGGAACTGGTTCTCTTGTATTTATGATGATGTGACTGCTGACAAAAGCAGCAGGATGAATTCTGAAGTGTTTCGGGCAATATTATCTGCTTCATATTCAGCCAAATGCTTCAGAACTCTTGGACGCCGCTTCACAGTGCAGATGGACAATGACCCAAAAGCTTACTGCAAAAGCAACCAAAGAGTTTTTTTAAGGGAAAGAAGTGGAATGTTATGCAATGGCCACGTCAATCACCTGACCTGAATCCGATTGAGCATGCATTTCACTTGCTGAAGACAAAAACTGAAGGGAAAATGCCCCAAGAACAAGCAGGAACTGAAGACAGTTGCAGTAGAGGCCTGGCCCAGAGCATCACCAGGGATGAAACCCAACGTCTGGTGATGTCTATGTGTTCCAGACTTCAGCTGTAATTGACTGCAAAGGATTTGCAACCAAGTTCACCTGATTTGGATGTTAATACCCTCAAATTAAAGCTGACAGTCTGCAGTTAAAGCACATCTTGTTTGTTTCATTTCAAATCCATTGTGGGTGGTGTATAGAGCCAAAAATGTTAGAATTGTGTCGATGTCCCAATATTTATGGACCTGACTGTATATATATATATATATATATATATATATATATATATATAACGGTACACATCAATAATTGTAACTATAGAACTGTTACTATGCACAGAAACACCAACATAGATATTGAGAACTTTTTCATTTCCTTTCTAATTTTTTTTTAGCTGTGTTTTGTTGCTTCCTATTTAATATTTATCTTTTCTAGTCTTTTAAATGATGCTGGTACTGTGTTTTATTCTTCTTTTTTTTGGAGCATATATTCTCTGCAGTATATATGCTTATGTATGTACTGCCATGTGCATTAACCATGCCCAGGGACTTGTACTTTTAAAAATATAACCAAATGGTAGAAAAACTGCACTTGGTGCTCAGCATCTAACAAAAATTATTCCAAAAAATGTGATATGTGTCCCAACATCTTAAAAACACATAAAAATTATGGGAAAAAAATTCAGAGGTTGACCACTATTCCACAATGACACACCAAAAAAGAAAAAATATCAATTCATAAATCAATAAACATAGATCATGATGGAAGTCCACCATCTATATGTAAATGTCCAAATAAAATAATAGTTATGTGTAGGGTTCCACCATTATTGCAAATCTTGCCATATGTTTTCACTCGTGAATGTCAATAAGCAGCCTTGTGAATTCCACACCAGCACCAATTGCAGCCTCTTAGAAAGCGATAAGACCCCAAATTATAGGTGGTCTTATAGCAGCATGTTTTCAGTAATCATCCATCCCCAGACTTGGGACCATATGAGATTTCACAGCAACAGGTTGTTCAAAGGTACACAGGAACTCCAGGGTACATCAGCAGGGATTCACTGTTTGCAACTCCACTCTCCCCATGTAAAATAAGCCAAGCAAGAGATAAACAAGTATTCCAAACATTCCATAGTGCAACTCACAAATTTAGTGTAAAAAATATTGTGCATCTACTCACATAAGCACAAGGATAAATGGAATGAAACCGCCTTACTTCACTAACGACCTGCTAACCGCCAAAGCTTATGGCCACTACTCTGTCCTCCTACTCCTCGACCTCTCCGCGGCCTTCGACACGGTCGACCACCCGCTCCTCCTTACTAAACTGCACTCGTGACTTTGTCAGGACAGGAGATGAAGTCACGAGTTACGTGGCGCAACGCGTCAACGGCAATAGTGTGGTGACGTACTTCCGGCGTGGCGCCATCTTGGAACACCTTTTAATCATGCTGTACACCCAGCTTATTGAAACTAACTGGAAACAGGCTGTTGCTATGTAAGTGTATATATCTCTGTTTTCTTGGCTTATTGTTGTCTTTTTGGCCATTAAAAGCAGTAATACACTATGAGGATTGTGTTTCTTTCCTCATTTATGAGCATATGAGCTTTTTGACATCTGAGGAGGGTACATTCCGTTTGCCCACTGGTCCGGCTGAATACTGTTCATGTTCATGCGATGACTGCCCATGCCATTTTTATCTGAGGAGCTACTGGCTGGAGGGATCCAGAGGTGATCTACATTATGCTTTGTGGCCCTGTGGGGTCATAGAGTGGAGGTGAGAGGCCATTGCAGCCAGACTGCCTGGGATCACGTTGGGAGTGTGCTGTGATTCACCTGCACGTCTTAGAAATATGAACTGTGGACACTTTATTTTGCACTAAGCCACTTTTATTTGTCTGTTAAGGGTCACGGTCTCTCCTATATCCCCCTTGTGGATTTGGGTCATTTGCCATTTTGTTTTGCTTTATATACATATATTTTCAGTATTTTTTTTATATTTTATTTATTGATTTATATATTTAGCACTGCATCTCTTTTATATGTATCATCTTTCTTCCCTCCTCCCTCCTATTGAAAATGGAATTTGTGGCTGTAAGTTGTAAGGAGCTTCAAAAGAGCCTCCTATCCTAAATAAAACACAAATAGAGGCCAACGCCAGAGCTGTAAACCACTAATTAGTCTTGGCAGGATATCTATTTTTCAGGAACCATGAAAAACACTTTCCTCTGTCCTATTGTAAAACAATAACTAGAGCCATTAGAGCTCTGGGAATGCAGAGCCTGCCATAAAACGTCTATTCCACATGTAACAATTCTGCATACAATTAATAGAATTCAACAGGAACTTGGCACATTAATATTAGGTATTTATTTGAATAGAGCAAATCATAACCAATCAAGGTCCTACATGACTAGGTTAGCACATAGGAAAGGGGAGAAAGCAGTCGTTTTCCTCCTGGGTGACAAGGGTAAGCTGTGTTTGGTATCCCTGGGTTTGAAAAATAATTCTGAATATTAATCTGCCAGTTTCTAGAATACCACCTGCACCCATCCCCTAAACCGGATGATTGGTCAGTTGTTCTCCAGCGACACCCCTTTAATATCATAGAAAAGGATTACAGGCCTGGTGAAGGAGATCTCTCATTTAACATCAATTAGAAACATCTTAACAGACTTGAGAGCCTAGGCAATCATTTTTGCTCAGACAACTGGACTCTGCTAAACCAGGACTTAGCAAGCATTCTGCCTTCTTAACATCTGTCTTTTATTTCTCTGTTGCTTTATTGTTCTCTTTATGTCTTTCTAACATCTTTTTTTTCTGGAAATATTTTAATTGCACCTTTTTGACCTTTTTAGTAATAAATCCTATTTTGAAAAGTGTTGAAACTGTCTCTAAAGCTTTTAATGCAAATTAAAGAACCTCTGTCTCTTGAAGAGTGCTACTGTATATAATAATCCTCTGAATATATCTGTCTGTGGTGACAGTGTGTGTTGCAGACCCTTATGCTAAAATCATAGTGTGATTGCTAGGATTTGTGAGTTTCCTCCTTCTCTGTAAAAAGGCGGTGGTGGCAGTGTGAAGGGTTAATTGCGTAATTAACCTAACCCTGTAACAATTGCTCTCAGACTGCTGGCACACAGATTGTGGTCCCGCAAGCTGGAAAATCTTTGTGCAGGGTGTAGCTGAGAGTGGCATTGTTACGCAAGTGGCAAGTGACAGCGCGGTGTGAGATTGGCTGGTCCTTTGTCATGAGTTGGTGAGAAGGGCAGAGGTCGGGCACCGTGTTCCTTCACAGCTGTCAGTCCTTGGTGGGTGTTTTTTGGGGGGTGGGAGAAATATTGTGCATAATGACAAACACCCCATTTTTTAGGTTTGTATTGTGTGTTTGCTGTAATTGTGCATTTGCTTAAATTTGTGTGCATTTTTCCAGTCTGACCATGCATTTATGGTTTGTGAGCATCTGCTAAGCCTTGTTATTAAAAAATGTCATTTGTTCTCTTACAACTCCTAACTTTGACACAGCTTGCTTAATCATGTAGACAGAAATACAGCTTCCTTCTTACCATAATCAGAAATGTATGTGTGTGTTGGGGGTGTTGGTGCTAGGTTTTGTTTGTTTTTTTTACCCTAGTCTTGTTTTTGGGAATCTTGCACCTAACAAATTAATGTGGTCAGATTTTTGTACCTTAAAATGTGTTACCTGGTTAACATTAACCTTATTTTGTTCCCAGCTGTACATTGTGAAAGTTATGTTGTGATCCCTTTTAGAGAGTATGATCTTGAGAGCAGGGCCCTTCTAACCCTATTGTATAGTGCTGTGCAAAATGTAGCACCATAAATACTGTTGATTCTTTTTACACAAGTAAATGAATGTACCTAATTGTGTTGCTGCTGCCAAAATAAATGTAGAGTATTGAGCTATTTCTGTATTTGTTGGATCAATAAATCTTTTTTTTCTCAAGAGGAATATATTAACATCCATACAAATAATAATCTACAAAATAAACATTTTATTCTGCACACATGCAAGGTGTTAAATAACTCCCCCCCCCCCCCAAATATATTTACAAAAAAAAAAAAAAAAAAAAACTTTAACCGCTCGAAAGCTACATTTCAGGGACCATTGAATTCAGCTGGTGGACAGGTAAAGTCTTTGACCTCCCTAGCGGTCTGATTATGTCCATATTTCTGTGCTCAAAACGGTACATTTTTTTGCATGGAAATATGTAGTTTTTTTATTGTAGGCCTGTAATTTTTAGGAATAAGAGTCTAGTAAACATCCTGGGTATGTTACAATTTGAACCACGAAATCATAAATTATAATTTAATAAATAATCATAAAAAAAATAATATAATAATAAATTTAATTCAATAATATAATCAAACCAAAAACAGTGAAATTTGAATATAGCGCCAAGTTCACACATCACTGAGCAAAGTTGCAAAATCATTTTCAATGTCTGATGACGAATTTCCCCACGAATCATTATCACTCAATTCTGCAAGTGGTTCTAATTTACTATTGCTGTTCTCTAGCTGGTCTAAAACCGCTTTTGACCTAAAGGGACGCTTTTTGGACACCAAGGACATTTCTCAGTTTCCAGGCAGAAAGAACAGTAAAAATGTAGGCAGGGCACAGGACAAAGCACTAGGGACAAAATGTATGTGAAATGGTTTGATACAGTAATGTTTTACTATGTAATTTTAGTGAATTTAGTGAATGTCACTATGGGGTTTATTTACTAAAGCTGGAGAGTGCAAAATCAGGCTCACTTCTACATAGAAACCAATCAGCGTCCAGGTTTTATGGCCAAAGCTTAATGGAACAAGCTAAAAGTAAAATCTGATTGGTTTCTATGCAGAAGTGAGCCTAATTTTTCACTCTCCAGCTTTAGTAAATAAACCCCTATTTGTCATTTTCAAATTTCCCGCCATTCCGTCCCCGTACGTCCTGGCGCTCGCAGGGAACGGAACCCGGAAGACAGATGCCGGCATCTGCCGGAGGACATAGCCGGGGATACTGCAGGAGGGACATTGCGGGGAGCGCAGGACAAGGTAAGTGAAGAACAGATCCCGGAGCAGTGCCACATAGTAAGCCCGAGTGTAGCTCGGGGTTACCACTTGTGGTACTGAAACTTTACCCCGAGCTACACTCAGGAATACCATCAGGAAGGTTAACATGTCAACATGGGGCTTTTTTTTTTAATTCACCAGTTGCAATCTGAGGAACACAAATCAATTTGTAAATAAAGTCAAATATTTATTTTACTTATTTAGTTTTCATAATGTATTGCTCGCAAAAGGAAATCTATTTGGAGACATGATCTGGTATAAAAACTAGTTATCACACACAAATGGTCCCAGGACCAGCTCCCAAAACGAAATTGCGTCATCTGCAGACGGATGTTTGCATGCACCCAGAGACATGAGAACAAAAGATCAGCCCCTTGGCCAAAAGTAAACACACAGCAGCTGGAGGCACGTGACACTTGCCAAACTCAAAAACACAGGAAACCCAAAGAGGTGTCAGTTGTGTGTATTTGCACCAATGACCACTTCTTGCAATCATGGCTGAAGGAGGAGGTGGTGCTGCTGCTGGCTATGTTTGCCAGAGCCTTCTGCAAAGAGAGTTTTTGTTTAGGGAAAGAAGCAATCATACACCTCTATAAACTCATCCCTACCCTCAAGGAGCTCACATTCATATATACTAGAGCCAGTTGATCTACCAGCATGTCTTTTGAGCATGGGAGGAAACCCACACAGACACAGGGAGAACATGCAAACTCCAGACATATGGTGCCATGGTTGGGATTTGAAGTGATCCTAGTGTTGCTAGGCAGAAGGGCTAACCACTAAGCCACTATGCTGCCCATAACGTTAGCTAGAATATATAGTAGTACCATGATTCAAGAATTAAGATATATAATTAGTAGATATTAAAAGAAAATTCTAATTAGACATATAACGCACCCACACAAAACAAATACTTAGGGGTTGATTTACTAAGAATAAGGTGAAGCATTAGATGGTAGACACCAAATTACACCGAACTGAAACAATTAAGACCTTGCCGTGGTGACTAGAAAAGCTTCTTCACATAACAAAAATGCCTTTAGTAAATGTTAAATCAACATAATAGGAAAGGCTAAACTTGGTCCCTAGAGGGCGTAGGAGCGCAGGATTAAGCCAAGATCCCATTTCTTTATGCGTGTTGTTCTGCAAGCAAATGCATTTTTAATCGCTTACCCGCCGCTGTATAGCAAATCTACTGCTACACGGCAGCACGGGTGTGCAAAATCACGTGTGTTTACGTCATTTTGCATTTCATATAATTGTCATATAATTTTGTAATATATATAATTTGGTGCTATATAAATCCTGTATAATAACATAACAGAGATATAACCGTCATGGACTTGAAGGGGAATCCTATGGCCAAAAAAATTAAATAAGTGTGGCTTCTCCCCCAAAATCACAAACATGCCCTTATCTGAGCATACAGTCCTGCAGGCCAGGAAAGACGGGTGGAAGAGTGAATCCTCACCCACACAATTATTTCAGGTACTTATATAGCACTGTCAATTTACACAGCGTTTTACATATATATTGTACATTCACATCATGCCCTTCCTTCAAGGAGCTTACAATCTAAAGTTCCTAACTCACATTCATATACTGGGGACAATTTAGACAGGGGCTAAAACAAACAACTACCAGCATCTCTTTGAAAAGGGAAACCCAAATAACCAGAATATGCTAATTCCATGCATTTAGTGTCATGGCTGGGATTATGAACCAGCAACCCTAGGGCTGCTAGGTAGAAGTGCTAGCCACTAAACCATGATGCTGATCATAATGGTACCTAGAATATATATTTGTAGCATGATTCAAAAATTGAGCTATATAATTATAAGCAGTTATTACAAGAAAATTTTAATCAGGCATTAAAAATTATTTGTCATATAACAGAGATATAAATGTAATTACATTATATATACATATATAATATTTTACATTAGAAAATAGTATGGATTACTCTGTAACAATCATTAACCACTTGCTCTCCCCCCCCGGAGGTTTTCCCCCCCTTCCCTCCTAACCAGGCCATTTTTTGCGTTACTTTAACGGACAATTGCGCGGTCATGCAACTTTGCGCCCAGATTACATTTATGTCCTTTTTTCCCACAAATTGAGCTTTCTTTCGGTGGTATTTGATCACCTGTTCGTTTTTTATTTTTTGCGCTATAAGCAAAAAAAGACCGACAATTTTAATAAAAAAACAATATATTGGACTTTTTGCTATTAAACATGTCCAGTAAAAAAATTTAAAAAAAAATCTAATTTCATCATAAATTTAGGCCAAAATGTAGTTGATTCAACTTTCATTTTTGTTATGTGAAGAAGCTTTTCCATTCACCACGGCATGGTCTTGTTTCAGTTAGGTGTAATTTGGTGTCTACCATCTATTGCTTCACCTTATTCTTAGTAAATCAACCCCTAAGTATTTTTTTGTGTGGGTGCGTTATATAGGCACACATATTGTTGTTGAGAAGCAAATATTAAGCTCTGCACTGGCTGCTCTTCCAGCTGCAAGTTCAATTTTTGCAGAATCCATACGGTTTCTCAAAGTCTGGGTCCATGATATTGATACCAGAAAGAGATGACTGTTTTTTGAAATCTTGATTATCATTCCTGCCTCATTAATTGTGACTACATTTTTACTTGGGTCTTTGAGGAAAATTGCTCTGCTTTGCACATAGAATGACCTTTCCTTACATTTCAGCAGGACACTGGTGACCTAGAACAAGTATGCAGATCATGGAAATTAAAGTAAAATAAGATATTCTTTTTTTCTTTAGTTATTACTCAGTCTGGTTTTTGAAACAATATTTCTTGGTCCATCATGGCAGCATACAATGGGTTGTGGCTCCACCCCCACAACCTGATAGGACTGGTTAACTATAAATCAAAGACAGACCCAGCTCTCAGCATTCTCCTTTTTGTCCTCACCTGATCAGGACTGGAGTCGTGAGGTATCCCTTACCATTTGTTGCCCTAGCCAGGTTCAGCCTCTCCTGGGTGAAAGTCTTTCCTACACAGCCTCTAAATGAGCTATATGGTCGAAGCCTCATTCTGGGGGGCATGGTTCAGCCTTTCCTGAGTGGAAGTCCTTCCTTTACAGCCTCCAAATGAGTTACATAGTTGGAACCCCATTCTGGTGGTGTAGACCTGTCAAAGAAAGCTTTAAACAAGCTTTGGCGTAAGTGGTAGCATTTTCCCTTTGCTTTCCATATGATTTTCCCATCTTTTCTCTGTTTGTCAGTACTTTCCTGCACCTGTCTGTGTTGTGGACGTTTGCCATTTCCCAGATGGCTGCAGCCCTGCAAGTACACTCTGAGCATGCATGGCAGGAAGTGATGCGGCTGCCACAGCCAGTTTCCTGGCTTACCTTTTCTAAGATAGAGCTGGGAGCCTCAGACTGTCATCTGAGCATGCTCATGTGCTTATATCATCAATAATGGCCAAGGGTGACAGTTTTAAATGATTTTAAGGCATTTTTGGGCAACACGTGGTGGTCTCTACTCATGCATGCTGGATGCTTATGTGGTCACTGTTTGCAGGTTTGTTTTCCATTTTTGTGGCATTCACCTGGGCTTTTCTTATCTCCTTCTCAGTGTTGCTCTGGGATCACTGTTCCTGTTTTTCATTTCAGTCTGCTATTTTGCTCTATTTCTATGGGGAACATTGCCCAGTCAGACCACCCATTGCCTGTAAGGTAAAGGGATTAGGTAAGTAGTGAAGATATTGAGAAAAAGAGAGCCAATACTGTCATAATATCTACAGCCCTGTATGAACCTCAAGATGGAGGGAGCACTCTAAAGGTCAAGACAAGTCGCCATTTAAAAGCAGACATTCAAGCAATGTTGATCAAGGTCATCATCCCACCTCTCATTATTATTGCTCCCCATCTACAAACACCACAGGTTACCAGCTCCAATGGTTGCTGCATTTGTGGTGGAAAGTCATTGCCTGACAAGCTAGAATGTCAAGTCCTCCCAAGCCTGGGATGAAGTGAAGTGAAGGAAATTCTCCACAAGGTTAGAAAGTACTTCCCAAACCTCAAAATTGTACCCCCTGAAAGAGCAAACGTTCAATCTGCTGCTTTTGCAGATTGATGGTGGATGCATAATTAATGCTAATGGCAAGACATGTCACTTTGCAGTTACGTTCAAGGACGCTCTAGGCCGAAAATTAGATCTAGATCTAAAGTGCTTTTATGTGCTGTAGTATCTGCAGGTGCCTGCAGACCACCAATAACATTTGCAGTGGTAGACAGAGCAATATCTAGTTGGACAGTTGATATTAAAGAAGTCCTTGAGGAAGTGGAGAGGGGCAAGGTGGTAACATTTTGTAAGAGCTGAAATTGGTGGGAGACTCTGTGGCGGAGGCATCAGTAAATGTCGTTTTAGGTTCTTCACGAGAAATGAACTGCTACAAGACGTTGGCCCCAATCCATTTTGGAGTACAATGGATGCAGCCATCTCAAGGGTGACCACTGGCAGGTCAGAGCGGATACCATCTGATAAAAAATAGAAGAATCAGAAAGGTTCAGCATACAGGCAGCAACTCTTGGGTAGATATGAGGAGGCAAAGTCCTATGGACCAGGAAAAGATTACAAAAGGAACTTAAGAAGTACCCAATCTTCATTGTTGAAGCCTTAAAAATCTAAGGCACCTATCTTGGGAGAACAGCAGAAGTCCTTTTAAGGGTGCGCTCATCCAGGCTGTGCCTGTGGGAGCTAGATGAAGCTTTCTGCACACAGCTGAATGGAAAATATTCAGGATCAGTGGGCCATATCGGCCTTATCAGTGCGACATTGGTGGAAGTTTAAGGGATGTCCACCTTCCAATCACTTCCAGCCAGCTAGGCTACCAGATTTGATGGAAAAGCAAAAAATTCTGGTCCAGTTTGTAGCCAAATGCATTCAAGAACAAGCGATCATGAAGGTTCCAAGTGCCCAGATGAGATGAAGAATTCAGTTCACCTCTGTTCCTAGTAAAAAAAAAAATCTCAAAATCATCTGTGCCCAGTGCTAAACTTTAAAAAAGCTCAACAAGCACAGAAAGTTGGCGTTGTTATCTCCAATCAATTCTATTATTAAATCTGAGAGATTGGATGCTCTCTGTACATTTATCAGAGGTCTACTTACTTGTCCCAATCCATCCTGCCTTTCAGTTCCACTACTGGTTTTTGTGCCTTCCCTATGGTTTGTCTACCTCCCCCAGGACATTCACAAAAGTCCTACTGTCTGCAATAGCGAGGGGGATGAGAATACATGGCTAGAAACAGCATCTTTTTTGTAGCCAGCAATCGGAAGATACTTATCGAGCACCGGGATGCTCTGCTACACAATCTATAACATTTTGAAAGCTAATTATTTGGAAGAGCTTCTTCTGCCCAGCCCAATGAACAAAGTTCTTGGGGGTATTTTGGATATGCTGAGTGTCTGAGGATATTTGCAAGTCAGCAATATGGTCCTCCCAGAACACCTTCACTGCGCTTTATTAGGTGAACCCAGCTCAGCTCACGACAGTAAAATTTGGAAAATTTGTTGTGCAGGAGCATACTTAGCGCTACTGACCATTACAAATTTTTTCGTGCACCCTCCCATATTGTGAGCTGTTTCCATTGTATTCTACCGGGAAAAAAAAAAGAAAATTGTATACTCACCTTTCTGTAAATTTCCTTCCCATGGCAGCATAGATTCCCACCCAAATGGTTAGAGTAACAGAGAATACTGTGAGCCAGGTCTATCTTTGATATATAGTTAACCAGCCCTATCAGGTTGTGGGGGCAGAGCCACAACCCATTGTATGCTGCAAGGAAGATGCCCCAGGAAAACAAAATTATGGAAAGGTGAGTATACAATTTTCTGTTTTAGTGCTCAGTTCAGGTAAACTGAACAAGGCCTGAAAATTAAAGAAAATCCAAACTTCATTGGTAGAGAAAAGGATGGGGGGGTTCTTCCAATGGAGACATTGTCCTGGTAACAACTGTATAAGTGAGCATTTCCCTTCTATCGGAGAGATCTTGTCTTGCATTCTGTTAGGTTTCAAAACAGGAAGTGGAGAAAATTCTCCCAACTGTGACACAGCAAAAAGAAAAATCCTGACAGATAGTTTAACACAATATAAATTATGTATTTACACAACATACAGCATCTCCACAAACTATATTACTGATAACCAATACATTAAAAATAAAATTAAATAAGGAATCCAAATAAATGCAAATGTGTGTAACTAGAGGCAACATGAAAAGTCCAATTGGATAAGAAACAGTATTTCTTCAAAAAGGTGTGGAGAATGTGAATCGTGAAGGCACACTTGTCCTGCCTAAACTTCGGCTCTTCAGCAAGACAAGGTAATCTTCAACTAGTGAGACACAAAGGAATACAAAGGATGCAGCCAAGTGCAGTATTAGGTGTCTTTATTAAAAGTGATTAAATAAAAATTGTCCACTCACATGTAAAGAAAGTGTCATGAGCATAACTGATAGATATCCATCACAGCAGCGCCACTCTACTCTCCTGTGAGCCAGTGACTGGTGTAGTGTGTAGCCTGCAAATCTCTCCGTTGAGATACGGCTTCACTTTTAATAAAGGTACCTAATACCGCACTTAGTTTGCCTTTTGTGTTTCTTTGTGCCTGAAAGATGGTTTAAACATTCCATAGTATTTACAAAACTAAAAAAAAGTTTTAGCTTAAGATACATACACTTTACACCAGACTGTACATGCAACCATGACATCTGTCCAATTTGAGATTAATATCTGGCCCCTTTCAGCTCTACGTCTTGCTCCTGTCATTTAACTGTCAAATAAATTGGCTTTAGGTGGGCAAGAGTTTATGCCTGAAAAAGGGGCAGACGTTAATGCGTACTGACGTTTATACATAAATATATTATTTAAGCTTTTTATTGTGATCAGGACTAACTATAGTAATATCCTCCAAAGTATTTCTCTTCTTTTTGGTCAGCTATCTGAAACGCTACATATGAATATTTTGAATATTTCTCACATGCAGCCAGCAGGAAAACCTGCAGTTTGAATAAGAGAGACATAAGTTGCTCCACAAAAGGAATAAATCACTGCATGCAGCTGAGAGAAATGAGGCCCTCTGTGTAATAGAGAGACATGGGGCACTGTGTTTAACGGAGATATGAAGCACTGCATCTAATCAACAGCCATGAGGTATAACACACAATAAAGAGTCATGGTGCATGGAGTGTAATAGGTGCTATGCAATACAGAATAATGAGATGATCCATATCACACAGGCGCAAAAGATACTGCATGTATTGCACTTTTCTTCATTTCTTAAAGTCAGAACTAAAAAGTGAAATAAAAAATGTGATTTATAACAGTGACTTGTTCCCTAATGAGACACCTCATTCGGACGTTTTGGTGATAGAGATCCTGTCTTCATGGAGATAACTGTGTGCTGTATCTTTAGCTAATCCACAGCTATTCGTTGTCATGCATTAAATGTGTTTGTGTGTAAAACAAAGAAAGCAGAAAATGCTCATATAAAACATCATAACACATATGAAGTAAAAAAGTTAAATGAAATGGACTGAAACACAATAATAGCTTGCTTTTTAAAAGGGAAAAACAGTGGTGTAAAAAAAGGTATACTAATTTTTACAAGTTCCTGGGCTTATTAAACGTAGCAGTCTGGAAGGTTCTCACTGGATAAATCTAAATCCAAATATCTCTTCATCATCTATACTCCATGGGAGGCAATATTTGGTGGATGAATGTGAGACGTATTGTTTGACCTAGGATACAATGGCAAAAAGCCATAGCAAGGTACATCAATTTACATTACATTATACTAGGCATTGCATTCTTGGTGGAATGGTCTGCTGGGTAGCACTCCTAGCCATGGTAAAGTCCAAAAGCATCTGCAGTGGGCTTAGGTAATACAGGACTGGACTACTGAGGCAGGGAAAGCATAGTCTGGGCTGATGATTTGCAGTTCCAATTACACCACTATGTCCATAGGATCAGGATGTAGCATAAAACCTTTGGGAAGGACACAGAATCCACGGAAGGAAACTTTCATCCATAAGCCTTGAGCAATGGCATGTTACTCTAACATCTATGAAGAAAGCATACTGTGATTGGGCCATTTGTGGAATCATGATATGGAGCAGTGCAGTATTAAAGTTCGACTTTCTGGCCATTCATTGTTTGTTTTTTGCAACAATATTATGTTTGAGTTCTTGTAACTGCTTTGCTATTCGTCTCTGATAATATAGAAGAAATTAACATAGATAAACTAGCATACTACAGGTCTGCTACATAGAAGGATATTAAATATCCTTCAGCCTGTAGGACATACTCAATGTTTAAAAAAATATCCTACAGCAGCCATTTTCAACCAGGGTCCTTCTAGAGATCTCTGGGGGGGGGGGGGGGGGGGGGGGGGGGGGGGGTCCTTGTGCTGTGGTGCCTAGCTGATGGTACCTGCATAGTTCTGGGGCCATGTAGCAGAGCCAACTGCATGATATAAATTATCTTTTAGCTTTTTGTAAGGGTGGCATTCTAACCACCGCTGTAATGGGGGAATTCTTCACATTGACCCTCAATTTGAGGGGCATTTTTTCTGCTGATCTCATAAGAATTCTTTTAGCAGGGGTTCCCTCAGCCTAAACAGTTATTTTAGGTATCCCATTTTTAGAAATGCTGCCGTTTAGCAAAGCAAATTTTATGTGACAGGTCCACATTTTAGTTGAGAAAAAAATCAAATGTGTTACCTTGCAGCCTTCACATGCATGTACCCCCATAGTGGAAACCAGATGCTATGTCACCACAAATTTTACAGTCCACAGTATGCACGGTATCCTGAGTTTGTTGGGTTCCTGAAATCTGCTCATCTGAAGAAGGAGATCGAGGTGGACTTTCTGCAATATGATCAAGAAACATTTTCATGTGGTAAACAATTCCTGCATGCCAGTTCAGTTCTATGAAAATGCATCTCAAGTAATTTAAAAACCGAGTTAAAAATTTTTATAAAATTATTTCATAGGAAATAGCAGTTTTATAGAAATTATAAGAAAGCATTTGTAACAGTGAGATACAATTGAATGCATATGATATGACTGGATTGTAGCGGTTCATGCAATGTGCAAATCTATTAATGATTAGCTTTAATTCACTCATATCATATTAATGACCTAATATGCTTGTAAAACGTAGAGTTTGATTCCTCTACTTCATACTGCAGTCTGGGTGCATTGACAGCTGTCCTCCAATGTTTCAAACTATTTCATTGGAGGTAACCATGTTGGGATAGATTCTTAGCTCATAAGGGTGCATTCACACTTGTGAGTGCACCCTACCTGCGATTACATGTGAGACCTCAGGGTTGCTTTTAAGGGGGCTGCCTAGTCATAGCTAATCACAGGAACCCCTGCTGGGGTTCTCACATGAGATCACAGGCAGGGTGCATTTGCAAGTGTGAATGCACACTAATTGTTATATAGCTTTCTTCAGGAAGCTCTAAGAAAGTATGCAGCATGGGATCATGCATTTACTGAATTAATGGGATGCTCAAAAGATTGCTTCAACACCTCACATTTCAGATAAATATTTTTCAATGTTTACTGAAAGCTTAGACATGTGACCTGTCAAAATCATATGCCTGGCTCTCCTCCAATCTGCATTTGACAGACAGAACTTTGTAGAATACAGTAGGCTCAATACCATGGACTGCATTTTTTGAAGGGGCTGTGAAATGCAGGCCATGGTATTACTGTATAGAGTATAATGGTGTCACAGTGTTGGAGGAGATTCTGTGCTACCAGGTAAAAGTAGGCCTTAAAGAGTACCATGGTGCAGGATCTAAGGAAGTGCCTGATGTTCACCAGAGAACTCCACAAGGGATGATGGGCTTTGCTGCCAAAGGCTTCCAGGTTGAGGCCCCCAATTACACTCAGAGCAAAAAGAGCTGAAAACAGGCAGAAATAAGGCATAGTACAAAATTGGGATGCAAAGTCATGGTCAGACAGGCAAATTGTTAAAGCGGGGATAACAAGAGTTGAGACATGCCTGGAGTTTTGAAAGAAGAATAAGCGCAGGGCATACATGACAGGGTGGAAGCAAACCTGACAATTTAGGGTTAGGGTGTGGTTGAGATATGAAATCCGAGCACACTTACTGTCTTGGTGGAGTGGACAGGGTGATGAGAGGAGCTGATGAGAAAATAGTTGGTGGGGATAGAGTAAGGGGCATCACTTGCAAGCTGGAAATCGTCAATGAGGTAAGGTTGGTAGGGGTCTGTGGTCAGTTAGAATAGTCCCCGAGGCGGTGTTTAGTGGCTGGGGATAGAAACTAGCTTAATGGTACCACGGACTCCAAAATGGTGTAAGAATCCGCAACTGTTCTTGGAGCTGGGTTGTTATAATAGTGAATGTTTGTTTTGTTTGTTATTTATGGTTTTGTTTAATAAAAAGGTTCCAATTTGGCCATTTAATCCATTTGGGGTGTTGGTGTCATTATTTAAGGAAACAAGGAGATGGAAATGGGGGGCGGTTTAGAGTGGGTATAGGGAACAGGTGTATCTGAACTACCCTAGTCATGGAGAAACTGAAACTGAGTACTGTCCGTGATACTCTTATTTAAACTAACTTACAATTTTTCAGGACAAGCTTTCAGGTTATGTCCCCTTCATCAAGATCCCCTTTGTACTACTTGGACCTTGATGAAAGGGACAAACCCCAAAAGCTTGTCCTGAAAAATTGTATGTTAGTGCAAATAAAAAAAGTATCACGGACAGTACTCAATTGTTTGTGTCGCAAGTGCACGAATATAGCTACAATCACCTGGAGAAACAGACAAAAGTTCAGGAGAGGGGGATAACAAGGAACAGGCAGATGTCATAAATGAGAATCATAAACAGAACAGAGATCATGAGTGCAAAAGCCTGGGAACAGATACTCAAAGTGATCTTTGCTTGGATAACTTCCAACTGAACTGAGCAGGTAAAGCCCAACTCAAGACACAGTTATTTCTACTGTTTTATTTAATCTTCAATTCTCATGAGTGTCATTATTTTTATTCCCTTCAGAGTTCTTTCTAAGCTGCTGGTATACAACAGGACCTTCCTACTGCATTGGAATGGTGTCTTGGAACAAAGGGCTTCTGCGCCTCTCGCCCTGCTGTACCATTCACAAAGCACAGCAGTGACATTTGTGCTGTGTTACGTTACTGGCTCTGCACTGCAATGGCATGAAGGCACAAAACTGAACTGGTGTTCTTCACAAACACCATTACAATGCAACAGGGAGCCAGAAGCTTCACACTCACTGTATAGCAGCAGTAGTCATTGAAGCTTAAAGAGCTCTTTAATTAATGACACCTGTAATGTGATAATTAAAGATTTAAAAAAAACCAGAAAAAAATAGCTGTGTCAAGAGTTTACCTTTAAATATCTTTTCCAAACATGACATCATTGGAAGTGTCTAGCAGCATTTTTCCTTAGCACCAGCAAACAGAATGTTAGAGCATCTAAACATTACTGACAAATAAACACACATGCAAAGAATTAGGCCTAAAGCTCATTAGCCACTTGCACCTACACACCAGAGTCTGTTGCACCAGGGCTAAATGCCAAAAGTGCATGAGGCTGAACAGCTGCAACAAGAACAGCTGCAGACATTAAAACATGTTGATTCTGAAGATAGCAAACCTTTACAAATGGAAAAGGATTAGCAATATCCATTCATTAAACCTAGCTTCACATCTATGCAGGTTGCTGTTGATGCGGTTTCTGTTTTGTGAGGCTTTTTTCTGGTAATAGAAAAGTATGATAGTTCTTTTCATGTAGTGCAAATTTGATGCAACTTTACACTCTGGCACTCAAGTAGACTCAAAGTAGCATCAAGGTCACATCAGAGTAGGACAGGAACCTTTATGTAACCAAAGTCTCATGTTAGGGTTAATGGCTAGGATTAGGGTTGATGGCTAGGGTTAGGTTTAAATGTTAGGGCTAGGGTTATGTTAGGGTTAGCGGTAATCATTAGGCTTAGGGTTAGTGGTAACTGTCAGGGTTAGTGTTTCAACTCTAACAATTTCCACGAACACTAACCCTATCTCTAACCCTAATTCTAACCCTATCCCTAACCCTAAATCTATCCCTAATTCTAACATTTAACCCTAAGCCTATCCCTTAACTTCAGGCATGTCCAAAGTACGGCCCGCGGGCCATTTACGGCCCGGGGGTCGGTTTAATACGGCCCTCCAACAGCCCTCCCTGCTCTGTGTAATGTGGCCCTCCCTTCTATGGCAGACAGTCTTCTGCTTGAGAGCAGAGGGCAGTGCGCATGCCTGACTGCGGCGCGTTCTCCCTGGTCTGTGTAAATGCGGCTGTCGCACGGCCCTCCCTTCTGTGGCAGACAGTCTTCTGCTTGAGAGCACTGCGCATGCGTGACTGCGCCGCGCTGGGAGCGACAGAGGGCGGTGACGTCAGGGCCGGGCTTCCAGCGTGAAGTGTGTTTCTCTTCCCCTCCCGGCTGCCGAGCAGAGACTTCAGCTCCAGCTACCTTTTTCACCCTTCACATTAGTGCAGGTAAGTTTTTTTTAAATTTATTTTCAATACATTGTGAAAACTCAGCTGTCAGTTGATCTTAATGTTATGAAATGAAAAGTATGTCGTTTGCAATTAACTTGGCATAAAATAATTTATTTGCATTTCATTGTAATAGTTCAAAGAATGTTCGGAAAAATGTTCGGCCCTCCACCATGTTCACTTCATCCAATCTGGCCCTCTTTGAAAAATGTTTGGACACCCCTGCTTAACTTATACCCTAACCATTGCCCTTAACCCTAACATGTGTCTTTGGTCACATAAAGGTTCCTGCACTACTTTTGATGCTACTTGAATGACAGAGAGTGTAAAGTTGCATCAAAGTCACAAAAAAGTCACTCTACATGAACAGAACTGTCATACTTTTCTATTAACCAAGAAAAAAAAAACAAAAAAAACGCAACAAAAAGGCAACACTTGCGTTTTTTGGTGCAGGTCCATTGAAGTTTACTACACAAAAAACGCAGTCTGCTGTGAGAAAAAGTCCCTGACCCTTTCCAAAAAAAATGCACCGGCTCAAAACACACATATATGAACTAAATCCATAGGAAATCATGTTAAATGGACTGTAGTGCATTTTCTGCGAGCTGGAAAATGCACTGAAATCCGCATAAATATGAACCTACTGTAAATCAAACACTAAGCAAATGATTAAATAAAAAATCCACAAATTTTTGTCCCTTTCACAGTGACCAGAAAAAGTATAAAAGCAGTATCCTCTTTCCCCATCACTGAATATCCGTGAATAATGGAAAATGTGGCACATATTCAGCATAGAAGTCTTGTTACTAATTGTGGTTCTATCACCCAATATTATGTCTTACCAGCTTATTTAAAAAAAATGACAAAACAATGCTTGTTCAAGAGATCCTTGTCAGCTAAGGATGCCAGACTGGTGGCAAAATGAGACAGACTAAAATGAAAACCGAAAAGTTTCAACCACAGACTATAACGGAAGTGGTATAAATTGGTGCAGAGTAGACAAACATGACTTGCACATATTCATTTAACTGTGCCTTTCAAATGTTGCAAAACACCACATGATACCTCAGCTGAGAACAACTGCTGCAAGAACATTATACAGAAGTGCTTTTGTACATTTAAAATAATTAAGAAAACAGCAACGTTCACAATTATGTTATGGAAAGTAAAGCAAATTTTATATGATATGCATTATACTACATTACATTATGTAGAATCTTAGTCTTGAGAACTGCACATCTTATTGGTCTCTCAACATACTGAACAGTACAAGTATAGTAAATTAATAAACTATGACATTCCTAGGATTACAATTAGAAATTAACATATTAAAGGT